ATGTTTTCATCTCTTTGTTTTGGTGTCTTGCTCTTTGATTCCTTGTCTGTGCCCCATTGTAGTCTCAGGCATCTTGAGCTCAGTGGTAAGAAACAGCCACTTCTTTTTTTTAATACTTTTTTTTTTTGACTACTGCTATTCAGAAGATCTTTTTTCAGGGCCAAATTTTATTCAGTTGATTGAGTGTGTGTGTGTGTGTGTGTGTGTGTGTGTGTGTGTGTGTGTGTGTGTGTGTGTGTGTGTGTGTTTCATTAAACACAACCTTTAAACCACCCCAACCTTGAGTTAATAATGATAAACTTTGAAACATTTCTTTCTTAAGTCTATGCACATTGTAAAACACACTGAAGCCTGTTTTTCCATCTGGATCTCTGTTACTGCATATCTTTTAGCCTTTTTTAACTGCACTAGCAAACTTTAGTTGGTTAAGTTACACCTGGGTTTTCCAGGCTGCTCTGCAGGCTGATTCTGTCCACTCTTGGGTTGCGTTGTGAAAGCCAAGCCCAAAGCTTGTAGGAGGTGGGTGACCAAGAACTTCATTCAATACCCCCAGAGCTCTGGAATGCTGATGCTTGCCTGAAGCAGACATTTTTTTTTTTTACTTCATTTTTTATTCCTACTTAATAAGGGCTTACCAACAGGCAGAAACTCTTAAAGGAGCCTTATTTTTTTTTTTAACTTTTCCAGTGAATAATTACTATTAGTTGCATCACGATTCAGGGTCCCAGGGTAGGGACCATCATATACCCAGGTCCCCCTTTACTTGGAGCTATATACTGATTTTTTCAGCTTTCTGAGGCCCTACATGGAAATTTGCCGCTACATTGGTATGATAAAATGCTGTGGGATTTTCTTTTACTCTAGCCCCATGTTGGGTGCCAAAATGTTGTTTTTTTTCTCTTTTGTTTTTTTTTTTGGGGGGGGGTCCACCACCCAGCTTCCAAATAAATCATGCACGGGGTCTTATTCTTTGTTAGCAATGCCTTAACTTGTCTTGTTTCTTGTCAGCTTTTCTAAAATTATCCCATCTACCATTTGCCTCTGGGGTTTTTCCTTTTGTTCTGTAAATCTTACTTTCACTCTTGCTCCATGACTGACTGGGTGGCTGGCCCCTGATGTCCTCCTCTCCTTGTTCTCTCTTGCTCCTCCTGTCTCAGATTTCTCCTCCCATTCATTCTCTCTGCCTGCCAGCCTTGCCTATCCGTTCTCTTGCTTCCCTACTGGCCATTCAGCTATTAGACCATCAGGTGTTTTAGACAGGCAAAGAATTGCAGCTTCACAGATAAACAAATGCAGCATAAACAAAGCAACACAATTTTACATCATTAAAACGATGTTGCAGAGCATAAACACATGAAACACACATTAAAATAATATTACACAACAGAACACAGCATAGTTTGTAGGAAGACATCCCATAGCAAGTATCTGCCCCCAAAGCTGAAGGCAGGTACTGTTGTTGTGAAGCCCTACTTCAGGGGTGCCTGCTCCTCATTCCCAGGTTAGAGATGAGGAGTTAGGAGAAGGGGAGGACAGAGTGCTCTGTGCGGTTCCCTAGGGCAGCTGTGGTTGTAGAGAATCACTTCTTGAAAATGACGACATTCCCCACTATTGTCACGCTATAGAGGGAAGGTATGGAGTTGGTGTACCCACGAGAGATTTTGAAGTTTTCTGTAGGAGCTTCTAATGGTACAAGCATGATCTCTTTTCCTAAGTCGTTTATTTGAGCCTTATGCTTAGGACAAATGGCAATGTTAGAGATGGAGGAGAAAGCTGACTTTGATGAATCGCATTCCTGAAGAAGTCAAGTTCAGTTTCTAGAGGGAAGGTATGTGGAAAAAAATACATGGACAATTCTGAGCTTGGGCATGGGTTCGATGTTTAGAGACAAAAAATACTTTTGGAGGTATAGGTAAAGAAACATAATTAAATTATAACTGTCATGAGTTATATGATTTTGATGGTGTGAGTGTTGTGAGCAGTGTCTTCATTCACTCATTCATTCATTCATTTATTCATTCATTCATATTGGTGTCTCAGCTCAGTAGATGCTTTGAAAGATCAGGAGTCTGCAGGTTCTATATGGTGAGGGAAAGGGGCTACAGGAAATTGGTGTGTATTGTGCTAAGAGAAGCAGGCCTAGGTTAGATTGGCTTTGAATTTCAGCTTTTTCATATACTAGTATTCTTGTGCAATTTATTAATCCAGTTTCCTCATATGTAAAGTGAGTATTACAGTAATAATACTAATTTGGTTGTGCAACAGGAAATATATATGAAATATATATATGAGATATATAAAATTAAGGTGAATGTTGGCTATCATAATTGTTACAGTCTGGATCCTTCATGCCTTGATCTGATTGCACGCATTGGCTTCACCTCCTGAAAATGATATATGAAATTTTCTTTGTGTGCTTTGTGTCAGAACTGAGGGTATGAGCCGTTCACTCTTTCGGTTGGCCAACATAATCTGAGCACCTGCTGCTTTGTAGGACCTAAGTGTGGGGCTGCAGAGGTGTCCTGAATCATAAGGTTTGCTTTATTGGGTCAGGTCAGTGCCCTGCAGGGCTGGACTGTGCTAGTCTCTGACTAAGGACATATGATGCTAGGTACGAGTCTCCCGTGCAGCTCTGTGAGAGGCAGCCAGGTAGGTACTGCATAGATTCAGGCAGACAGATTTGGGTTCCAGTGGCTCATCATTTGTCTGAACCTCTGTTCTTCGATTATAAAATAGTATCATTGCAGCCTGCATGACAGGGCCACTGTGAACTAACTACTGGGGACGAGAGGCACGCCATTCCCTAAGTGTACTGTAGAGGTTCAATATTTGCTGTAACTGTTACCCGTCTCCAGGGCATGGGTTCATCTTGTGTCTGTGGGACATGCAGACAGTTTTAGTTCATGCTGCACACGGAGGTTGTGTTGTTTCCTGCTGGAGATGCCTGCCAGGTCAAACAGAATTTCATGTGACCTCTGGAGTCAGGTACACCTGGCCACTGATCTCATTTCTGCTGCCGGCCAGTTCCTTGACTTGCTCTTCCTTAAGCAGTAGGCTTTTCAGTGTAAAATGGGAATAATAATGGTCCCAGCCTCACAGTGATGTTCTGAGGATTAAAGGAAGCGAAGGGTATAAAATGAGCCTCCTACATGCTGGGCTTTCCATAAATGGCAGCTGCTATTTAGCCTGTAAGTTGAAATAGTGGCTCCAGAACTTAAGATAAATGACTGCTTGTCTGCGTTCTGTTTAATTTTTCAGGGTTCATTATTCTTCCTTAATTCGTTTATAGTCATGCCATTTTTAAAAGCTTTATTTCTGTGTTTGCTAAGTAATTTGCGTGAATGGTTTTATAAAGCTTGCAGGCTTAGAATGCATTGGGTTCTGTGTTCTTGGTTATCGATATCTGTGTTTCATAAGCATTGCTATAATGAACAAGTAATATATTGTCCACTAGACTACATTAATAAAACCATTTCCCCTTTGCTCTACAATTAAGTTATTTCTTTACAATATTTTATAGTCAGCATTTCAGTGGATGAATGTGTTCATGTATGTAGCCTTTTGAGTTTTTTTTTTTTTAACTTTGTTCATCAGATGAATTCCCAGGAATATTATTTGGTCAAAGGGGATAAACATGCCTTTTGAATGCATATTGCCAAACTGCTTTCCCAAAGGGATCAACTGGCCTTTGTTTCCATCTTTCTGATTTTATAAACTTCAGTTCACTCTCTTACCCAATAAATGCTTACTATGGTTAGCCCTTACCATGTTGCAGACTTCCTGAGAAGACAGTAACAGAGGGGAGAAGCTTGTTTGTAAATACATTTCTGCTGTCCAAGTGTTGATGAAGGCACAGGGTACCTGGGAACTCAGAGGAAGGGCTCCAGCCTCACTGGTAGAGAAGTTGTTTTCAGTGACCAGGGAATCCAGGCTGTGTTCTCTGATAGAAAGTCATGCCTTCCTTGACCCCCAGCTTACTGAGGCATCGTTGGCAAAGAAAAGTTGTACAGTGTGATTGATGATTTGCTATCCAAAAGAAAAAGGACCAAATGTCATTTGCAAACTTAGAGGTTTTATTACTTCTGTGGGATTATTTACAGACGTCTTTAGTGTGATTAGTCCTTCTTAGGAACACATTTTCAGCATGGATCTTCCAGAGAACCACAGTTCTTCCATGGTTCTTGCCCTTCTCTGTCCTGATGTGCTGTTTGTGTAAACTGCTCTTTATAGTTTATGGGAACAGGGGTTTTGTTATGGAACGTTAAAAGAACACAGGAAAGCATAAAAATAAAATGGTTTTGTCCTGGAACATTCACAGCTACCATCTTGTTTCACTTCCTTCCTGAAGATTAAGAAATGAACTTGGTCTGAAGAAGCCATGCTGAAGTTCTTAGAAAATTAAAAGCTACTTATTTAAACTAGGAAAACCAAACAGCAAGGTTAAAAAAGCAAAATGCCTCCAATGCTCTGCAGTGCCAGTCATCCTGAGAAGGTTTACTTGTAGTCGCTTCCTAGAAGGGTCATCAAGGGACCATGACAAACCCTAGTTTAAATGAATGTATTCTACAACAGATAGTGCTCCCAGTGAGATGTTAAGGGGACAGCATGGAAACCAGTGATCGGAGCAGATTACCAGGGCTTGGGGAGATGTTACTGAGAAACTCTGCAGGCTTCTGGGGGTGTAGGCACAGGAGAAAGGCTTCCTAGCTCAGACTGAAGGTGTAATGACTGAGTCTTGAAGACTGGATAGAAGGGAGCCTGAAGAAGCAGGCAGGAATCATTTTTTCTGCCTTAAAGAAGACATATGTGCAGATTGTGATGCTCCAGGGTGGGGTGGTCACACACAGTTCAATGTAATTGAAGCCCAGAGACTGAGGGAGAGGCACAAGAAGTCAGCCAATTGCTTGAATTTCTGTGTGGATTTCTCAGAGCCCAATAGCAGTTGGCTACCATGTTACCCTATTTAAAGTTCACCCTATTGTGTCTTATTTTCTGTTTAGTGTCAGCTGTTACTGGAAGTGGCCTGGCCTCTCTTCATCTTCTTGATCCTGATCTCTGTCCGCCTGAGCTACCCGCCCTATGAACAGCACGAGTGTGAGTATCTGTGGACCATGTTCGAGACTCAGTGATGGCTGGTGAAATGTAGGGAGTGATTGTGTCCCAACAGTACCTTTCCTGAAGATGCTGTCTTCAGGAAAAACACCACAAATGCCTTGGGACAGAAAAGCAGGACTTTACTTTTTTTTTCCCCACGATAGGGCATGAACTCTGGAGATATTTGTAATCCCAGTGAATGATGATGACTCTAAGGATAATAGTAACTAACATCTGTTCCACATATTTTTAAATCATGATAATAAAATAACTTAGTAAGAGTTCAGAAAGTGATGAACACATACTTTTTGAAGATAGAATGTTATTTTCAAAGTATGCCTATGTGTCTGTGTGAGTGTGTGTGTATAAGAATGCAGGTGCTTGAGGAGGCCGGAGGTGTCAGAGCCCCTAGAGCCGGAGTTACAGGCAGCTGGGAGCCATCTGATGTGAGTTCTGGGAACCCTATTCAGGTCCTTTGCAAGAACCAACTCTCCAACTCCCAGAGCTTGCATTGTCTTTGTGTATAACATCTTGGTTTGACTAACATGATTATATTTCATTTGGTTCTCGACAGTCTTGCATAATAGACTTTATTATCGTTTGCTTTAATTTCTTGGTAACCAAATTGGGAGTCACATACCTATAGTGACTTGTTCAAAGTTACATATCTAGTAGAGTTGGAATAGAATTCAGGTCATCTGCTCTCACTCCTGTGTTTTGATGACCGTGAGCATTGGAATACAGACATGACTGGAAACATGGTTATACGGGTGTTGCTCCTGGCTTCAGCGTTCTTTAGGTGTGTCACTATGAGCACGTGGTTTTAGCTTCTATATAAAAGAGAACAGTGACACTGAACAGCTCTTGCTGTTACCAGAGTTACCATTTTACAGTCCCGCTATGCTTGGTGGATGGATGGATGGAGCAACGCTATAGAAAGTTACAAATCTGAGGAATTGGCATTTGAATAGGCGTTTTGGCTGGGTCAAAGGCTTTCTATCCCACACACCTTTCTTGTCACTCCAACAGACCTGCGTGCTTACAAGGCTCTGTTCTTCCAAGCCAGCATTCAGGTCACAGCTACCCTTTGATTGGGTTTCTCGGTCTCCTTCCCATCTCCTACATAGCATGTAATGGCAGCACTTTCATATTAGTTTGCTAATAGACATTCTATATATTCAGATTACACTCACATGCCTCCAGTACATTCCTCTAGACATGACTTTCTGATTTCATTAGTGTGAGTAGCAGAGTAGAAAGCTAAGGTGGAGCTTGCAGATATGTTTCCACCCTGGAACAAAGTACTAGTGTGACATTCTTCCCTGTAAATCTTTGTGATTCACGTCAGAGTCATCAAGGTCCTGACTCCTCTGGCTCCTTGGTGTCCATTACGTTATTTGACTGACAACGCTGGACACCCAGTGTCTAATCCTCATCCTGTTTTTATTTGTACATAAGATGGGGTGCAGTGGATGACGAGGGTCTTTGCTGAAGGACAGGCCGAACATTCCCCATCTCTGCCTTTGACCTATGCTACCCATCCCCAGGGTCAGTCAGTATCTGCAGGTTGAAAGAGGCAAATCCTGTCTGTGGTTCTTAGAGTATTTGGTTGGGTTACATAAATCTGCACTGAATGAGGAGCAGCAGCTCATTAGGCAAGGGCCTTGTTTGGTTTTCCTTGAACTGTTAGCTAGATAAAGAGATTAGCTGAGTAAATGTTCAACAGGCCAGAGTCCCCACAGAGACTGGCTGGAGGGATCAGATCTGGTCATATCCTTCCATGTTGCCTCTTTAAAAGACTGAACAGTTCCCAGTACTCATATGTAAAGTGAGGCATGTCTTGGTCTTTGGTCTAATTCTGGGGCATCTCTATTAGCATATTTACCTGAAAACAGAACGATGAAGAGAAACTATCTTTGGAGGAAGGCAGGAGCTGTGAGGCTGAAAGAGTGTTCTGTGTGGACAATAGCAAAGAAGTACTGCTGTAGGTGAACTACAATGCCCCAGAAGTACTAATTGGACCATTCATGACTTCTACTTTTTACTGGGCACTCTGTAAAACTGTTCTGCCTCCTAAGCCAACCTGGGCTCAGAGTGAAACCTTGTCTCTTAAAAACAAAAATGAAACCACGAGATGCTTTGCTGATCAGAGCTCATGTAACACCACATGCATGTCGATCAGCATTTTACAGGTGAGAAATCAAGGCTTTGGAGATTGGCTGGACTGAGCCTCGCACATGGCAGGGACTGGGTGTAAATCTCAATTGGATTAACTCCAAAGTCTATGACAATACAAGCTAGTCACCACCTGGAGCCATGGTTCTTAATGCTTGCCAAGTCTTCAGATAACACTGAGAATATGGTGAGAGCTAGAGCCAAGACCTTTTTGTCCCGACATGAACAGGTATCTGGATTAAGAACCCCTGACTGAGAGCATATTTATCTTGATTCACATAAGCAACACTTGTAGATCCTTGCCACAAACTTACCCGTGCCTTTGCAGGCTCTGACCTCACCTGGGCATGCCTAGTCATTGTTTTTAAGGAACTACTACATGTAGTAAAAAGAAGATGACAGTGACCTGGAGATGAAATCTCATTTTATTGATGAGTGACAAAACAATATGAAAACAGATATAGTGTCCCAGACGACTTGGATCCCAAGTGAGCATGCTTTTGAGCTGCAGGTGCTCTGGGTGAACTTTTGAGCTGTCAGAGGGGCGTGAAACTGACAGAGGTTTGCCAAATGAAGGCGAGACTGGGAAGAGTGAGGCGATGATGGGGGCTGCAGCTGGAAGGAAGAGGCTTGAATTGGGATCATGGTGATGAAGTTTCTACCCAGACACGTGTGACTCTTAGTTCTTCATCAGATGCAGTATGAGGGAACTGCATTAGGTTACTGCCAAGGCCCTTCTGTGTCTCTTAGAGATGAGCATGGTGGTAGAGATTCAGCAAATGGTGACCAAACACTTGCTGCTTGCCAAGGTTGGTGTCTGGAATCCCAATCTACAGATGATGCCAGATAGAACCATTGTGACCATCATTTGGTGTCAGATTCTTAACTCAGGACCAGTCACTTCAGGGGAGGCAGGTGTTCTGGGATGTGGAGAATGAGGCAGACAGATGTGAGAAGAAGGACCGTGTCAAAATCACTTCAAAGAACTAATGTTTTCCTCTTGATTTCAACAGGCCACTTTCCAAATAAAGCCATGCCTTCTGCAGGAACACTTCCATGGGTACAGGGGATTATCTGTAATGCCAACAACCCTTGCTTCCGTTATCCGACTCCCGGTGAGGCTCCCGGTGTGGTTGGAAACTTTAACAAGTCCATGTAAGTACCAGATCAGACAGTTAATACTTATCCTTCCTTTCTTGGAGAGCTTTGCATGGGAAATCTGGAGAATGAATGAAGGGGGGATGCCACCAGGATTTAAGACTGTGGGATTTAAGAGTAACTGTGATTATGTGGCCCAAAGCTGTCTATCAGAGTCAATGCCTCTGGGAGACACAGCAAGCTCACCCCATTTGATTTACTCACTCCAAACATTTACTGTACCTCTGAACTGGCCGGTTCTAGGAGCCTGGGTCACTGCACTGGAGGGTCTGGGTTCCCCAGCAGCATAGACACAGGCCAGCAGTGTTCTGTCCTTCACTGGGCTCTCAGGCCACTGCTCTGATGTCTGAGATGACTACAGTATCGCTGCTGCTTACAGATATTTCTCTCCCTGAGTGGGGGCTGCCTGAGAGCATGATCTGCTGTTTTAGTGTCTATGCTCCTGGCTCCTGGCTCCAATGCTGTGTATTATAAGCATCTGCCAAATGAGATGGTGAAGATCTCCAAGATGTGCAGAGTCAGAGTTAGAGTGGATGGGGACTGTAGTATTCGATGTCTGAGATGGTGCTGTGGTCGGCACAGGCAGGGCCACGTTTATAATGTTCATGTGTAGGTTGTGGACCTTTTGTGGGCACTTTCAGACATAAGAAAGTATTAAAATTTATTGGTATACAGATGCATATAATCAAGGGTAAATTTGTCATTGTAATGCATTCCTGTTATATTTGTTTTCAGTTCATAGTTGTAATCAATGAAACCATTCTCATGGATCATTAAGCATGTTTTGGCCTATAGGCACTAGGTTTATTATGGGCAATAGATAGCCGTGTGTGTGTGTGTGTGTGTGTGTGTGTGTGTGTGTGTTTGTGCATATGCTGGCCTTGGTGTGTGAACTGGGTCTAGCACATGGGCAGACCCTTGAGGCTGTAATGATGGCTAGGGAGGAGAGGTAGCCAGGCTGGGGTGAGAAACAGCTGGCCTAACCAGGTCTTTTTGATGTTTTCTTGTTTCCTTTATAGTGTGTCTCGCCTGTTCTCAGATGCTCGCAGGCTTCTTTTATACAGCCAAAAAGACACCAGCATTAAGGACATACACAAGGTCTTGAGAACTCTGCGACAGATCAAGCATTCCAACCCAAGTAAGCAAAACCCTCCCGTTCATGCACCTGAAGTGGACATTTCCTGCCATGTGGCCTGGGCTTGTTCTCAAGCTTGCCCTAGACTAGGTTTCTTCTTCAGTGGCTGGGTGGTTGGTCTTCTGTGAAGGAAGCATTGGAAACAAAATTAGAAAAGTTGGTTGTTACAGAAAGTGAATCTGGGGATCCCAGATGGGAATGGCACAGGCTTGCCATTAAGGCCAGCAGGAGCACAGATTGCTGCCAGGGGCATTTTTGAGCTGCCCATAGGGTTCCATGGATGGACAAATTTATAGATGAGATGTTTCTGTGTATGTGAGAGCAGTTAGAGTTCTAACTTGATATGGGCACATAAAAGTTGGGCAGTTATTTCTAAAAGGAAACTCTTCTTCCTTGGAACTAGCCATTGGATTAGTCTGACAGCCATTTGAATTCTGAGCTTGAAACAATAAAGGGTCCCCCTCAGATTTGCTGAGTCCTAGGCAGTTAGTTCCTGGCATGCCACTGAGGAAGTGTCTGAGGAACATACAGCTTACTGACCACGACATGGCTGCAGAAGGACAATAGCCTGTCAAGGGAGCAGGGGAAGTGTTTGATGTTCACTGATGCAGGTTAAGAATGGTGTGCACAGTGAGGATTGAGAAGCAGCCAGGGAGCCACCTGAAAGCTGGCCTTTTTCTTGTCACTCTATGCTGCCGTTCTAAACTACATCAGTGATGAAGTTCTCCTCCCATCATGAGCCAACAGTGGCCACGGCTCCAAGACGGTCCTTTTTACTCCGTTTGACATTTGAGGAAGGTTTGGTCCAGCCTTTCTTGAAAGGCCTCTCTCCCAGTTTGTGATCCATTTGGCTTGAGAAAAAATGGTGTAAAATGTTAGGGTTTAAGTGGATTGGATGGGAGCTTGTTTGTGAGGACACAGAACTGTGATTAACTTGGGCAGGAGAAGAGCCATGGCAGGGACTGGAGAGCTCAGAAGTGACGGGTGAATTGTGCTTTTCCAGAGGACCCAAGTTCAGGTCCCAGCCCCCACCTGGGGTGGCTTGCAACTGCCTGTGACTCCGGCTCTAGGCCTCTGGCCTCTGACAAAGCAATGCACTTACATGCACAAACCACCCCACCCCAAAAAAGTTTTTAAAAAGAGGCATTGCTATGGGGGACTCCATGACAGAGAGTGTCAGAGGTGATTGGGGTGGCAAAGAGGGGGTGTGTGGCTTCAGTACAGAGAGGCGTGGGCATGCTCCTGTCCCTGAGTCACCTGTGAGGCCCTTGCAGGTGGACTGTCCCTGGTTGTGCAGCCAGATCTCCTGAGTTCTCTTTTCTCGATGTGGAGGCCCCTGGTCAAGGCCAGGCTTTGCTGTCATGGAGGGCCCCTGTTAGGCTGTGAAACAGCAGAACTGGGTTATTTCTTCTACCACCAGAAGACGGTGCATCACAGACAAGAAACACAGTGTGTTACTGCATGATCTTGTGAATAACTCCTGGTTGCTTGTATGCTATCTCTTCTTATCTGAAAATGGGCACAGTGGGAGACCCATCCAGGGTTAGAACAGTGTTTAATACCTAAGAAGCATTTAAGGAATATGAGCCATGATTATTTTCCTAAAAAGTATTGTTAGATTTATTTATTGTTTTATGTGTATGGACATTTTGCATACATATTTGTATGTATATTGTGTGTGTCCCAGATGTGCATAAGACCAGAAGATGACATCAGAATCCCTGTACCTGGAGTTAAGGGGGAGAGCTGCCATGTGGGTGCTGGGAATAGAACCTGGGCTCTCTGTAAGAGCATTCAGTGCTGGTAACTGCTGAGACATCTCTCTAGCTTTGCTATGAATATTTTCAAGCCCAGACATCTCAGACAAAACATTCAACTTTTCTGAGACCTAATTTCCTGAGTTATTTATAATAATATTACATTATTATGTACAGTGTAATGGTATATTATTACATTATTAATAGGAGAATACCTAAGATGCAACATCTAACACACTGTCTGGCACATAGTTGATGCTGTATAAACAGAAGCCAGTGCCGTCCTCACATGCCATTGTTGCATTTCTGACAATGTGACCTTGTTCTTCTGCTTCTTTTTTGTGGGGCTGGCAAAAAGGGTTGGCAGACTTTCCAGTTCTTAGGATAAGCTGCTTTAGAAAGGAGGGTGGTTTTCTTCTTTTAGCAACTGGTGTTGTGAAGTCGGGTGGGGGAAAGAAACCACAAGTGTGTGCACAGCTCTTTAGAAGGAAGCCGTCTTCCACTTTTCAGTGTCCTGTTTGCCCGGAAGCTGGTTTTGCTTTGTTTCAATTTGCGTTCCTGTGCTGGGGATCGAACCCAGGACCTTGTACAAGCTAGGCAAGCACTGAAACACTGAGCTACATCTCCAGCCCTAGCTGGTCCTTGAGTTTCTGTCATTTTTCTTTGTTTATCCCCCTACAAAAAGTCAGGCCACAGCTATGGAGGAAGCACCGAGAAACTCTGCTTCCTTCTCTAGGAAGCAGTAACTTTATGCTGACCTTGAAAAACACCCTATTGGTCTGAATTGGGGGCTGGGGATGTCGCCTTGCTCCCTACCAAGAGACCCGTACCATCCTTCTACTTCCACTTCTCATGAAGTAGCTCATTTTGGGTGTTGATAGCTGGACCTGTCAGGAAGTTTTTGCCACCGTGCTTTACCTTCTAGAGAAATTAGTCTAATTCCATGTCCCTCAAACATCTGAGGACAGTTCTTGTGTCTCTTCCCAGAGTCTTTTATTTTTCTAGTTTAAATATCCTCCAATCCTCTTATGCAATGCTGTTCCTCCCAGCCTCTGCCTCGGCTGGTTGTGTCTCAGTGTGTTTATGTCATTCCTGAAGTTTACCAGAAATTGCAAAAGTGTTTTAGCATAGAGGAGAAAGGGACTTTTGCCTGTTTGAATGTCGGATTCTGTCCGTACATTCTGAGATTGCATGAGGCTTTTGATGTTCTTGTCATCCTGTTGACTCATAGACCATATACAGCCAACTCAAACTGTAGATCTTACGAATACATGGAATTGAAACTTGTTCTCTTTTCCCTAGTTCTACCACTGGCTTTCTGAGCTAAAGGGAACATGTCCATCTCTTCCAACTTACATCATTAAATCCCCTCTACCTTCTTGTCTTACTCTAACCACTTCAGATTCTGATTCTGCTTGATTACACAGATGCTACTTGTTTTCTGTCACCTAGGGGTTCAGTGACTCTCTTTTGATATTCCAGACATTGATCTCAGCTGGAGGCTGAGACTGGTTACCCCAGAGACTACCAATTCCTTTGGACAGTACTCCTTAGGATCTTAGAGCTACATACCTGTGTGGTCATTGCTGGAACCCCGAGGGGGGGGGGCTGCTTTGGAATCCATTTGGATAATTCATCTTGTATTTCAGTCAGCTAGCACCATTGGCTTGTCCATAGGGGCTTTGTGGATATGGGAGTCTACTGAAACACTCCGGTCTTGTCTCCAAGTTTTCTGGGCCACAACATTGGTTTGTTTAGTTACTCAGCTCTGTACCAACCATGCTTTTGTAGGTGCTGAGACAGGGGAGGGGGATTCTTCCTAGAGGGAATCTGATACTGAAAGTGGAGGTGACTTCTTCTAGTTTACACAATCAAGGGAGTGATAGCTTAGGAATGAAGCCCAGCCAAGCCCAGCTCCCCATTTAAGTCTCTCTCTAAAGGTACCATCTTGTATTGTTTTAGTATTTTTCCAACTTAAAAAATCAAGTGGTGGATACCTCCTCTATTTATCATTGAATCCATTCTGATAGAAGTCCAAGAATGGACCCTTACAAATCTGCCTCAACCCATTTTCATATTGCTGCACTGTTTTGGTCACTTTGTTGTTTTTTCTCTAAGCCAGAGTATAACCAGCAGGTTGAGTGGTGGCTAAATTAGTTTTGGGAAGTTAGTGTGGGAAATCATTCTGTCTTTACTATCATGGTCACAGCTCAAAGGCAATATAAACATAGGCTTAATTCTCAGAAACCCCAGAAAAAGTAACATGTTTAGATTCTAACCTGTGACATGTAAATCTTTAAGGACAGTGCTTTGAGTTTTGTGTGATATATGAGATGCTTTCTGACACTGTACAAATGACTTTTAATTCTGACTCACATCAAATTGCAGTTTCATGAGTATTATTGCTTAAATGGACATTAAGAAATAAAAGATGAAGTTAAGGATGACATTGTTTCATGTGGCTGTGGTGAAATTCTGGAGAGCAGTTTGTAAATGACTGAAGGTTGGAAAATGCTACTGTAGGAGAAAGACTTGAGGCTGTGAGGAGATTGGGCAACAAATTCAGGCTCTCTCTCTCTCATTAAGTCATCTGTGGGTAACTTTTGATTCTTCCTGGCCCTCTACTTATTAGAATTGGACAATAATTATCCCATCGGTCATTGAGCATTCAGTGGTGTGCTTCCTATGGGTTTCCAGCAGTAACATGAGCACGGGGGGTGACATCCAGTAAGTCAGAAATACTTTACTTCCCTTGTATCTCAGGGTGTTTGGCCTTTGCCAAATTACTCACCTTTTCTGTGCCTTAAGTTTCATTGTCTAACATTTGAGGTTTGGATAATGTCTTGAAGATACTTCGTCTTAGAGTCTGGGTTGGTTAGCCCGTGGATGAGGACACCTGTGTTACAGTGGTGGTGTGGGTTACAAGGCTGCAGCCCGTTCAGGGCAGGATTAGGCCATATTCATCATTCTGCTCTGAACAGCAGCACGGTACTGATGATTGGTAACCCTGGGTGCATCTTTAGAGAATGAAGTCAAGTCAAGTGAAATTCTCTGGATGACATCAAATCCATCACAGGCAACTGGAGAAGCACTTCCATTGTGTAAACCAGGCCCCAATGGCTCAAAATTAATACCAAGTCAGTCTTGATTTTCTTTCATAAAATTTACCTCCCCACAATTTCACTGGAAGGGAGGGCTACCCTGAGTTCAGAGGTATAGCACGTACTGGAAAGATAGATTTTCCAA